CGACGATGTTAACGCCAGATCGGCTCGCGCTTTTATTACCGTATAAGATACCTTATCCGTGCCCCGCGCTATCGCGATGATGCTGGTCGCTGATCAACCTGCTGCTGCGTTTACGAGGGAGCCTCTCGCTTGCGCAACCGGAGGAGGATTGTTGGGGGATCTCTCATCGCTTAAATTAAGTTATTTAACGCCGGAACATGGTGTTTACTCTATACTTATATATATACTTATACTCTAGACGATAGAAAAAATGTATGGACTTAAATTAGCTATAAAAATATCGGAGAGAGGTTCTTTATTTTCTATTATCTTATTAAATAATAAAAATCGAATTAGTAGTAACAGAAGTAGCCGATATTTTCTGCGAGAAAAGAGTACTTTTAGCATACATTTAAAATATTTGTTTATAAAAATAAGAATATAATAAATTTTTAAATGTAACATTATCAGAGTAATAAATTGTGGGACTATTATGGAAAGATCCGACTTTGAGAATACTATGTAACGTTATTCCTTGAGGGGGAACGGGCTTTTTGTCGCCGGGGTAAGAACTAGTAAGGGCAAGAGCGCGATTACCGCATTTCGTAACCCAGACGAGCCCAGAAGCGCTCCGATGAATGCAGAGAACGCATGCATTCACGAGTGAACTGCGCGTGAAAGGCGAGGAACATCGCCTGAACTCGCTCCTCGAGGCCTATACCTGCATCCGCAAACATTGCATAAGAGTTCGGAAACGGAATTTGCGGCTCGAAGGGAGAAACGATGACAATTTAATCGCACGATTAAACACGTAACGATGAATCATTTTTACTAAAAAATTACGTCATGTACAGTTACGTAAATTCAACAGGAACCTCAAAAGTCATTATTGCGTCATTTCTCAGGTAAGAATAATTAACGTATATACGCGCATATCTTTATCGATTTAAAAACTATGTTACATTACTTCGTTAAAATCTCTTTTTCAAACTCTCTATGTAAAATATGGATTCACAATACTGGATTCACAATAAATTAGAATAAGATAAAATTAGATTAGATAAAACTTTAAGGAAATAAAATTATTAATAAAAAATTATTAAAATTTTCAAGAAAATATAAATACGTAATATTTCAATTCAAAAAAATATTAATCCTAATTTTGGACAATACATATCGGAAAAAATAAAAAATATATCTATATATAACGTTTTAAATAAAATCATAAAATATATTAATAATAATATCAATAAGATAAGAGCACATTTATGTATCTTACGGAAAGCAATGTCAAATTGATGATTAAAACAGCATAAATTTATGAAGTATGCATTCTCGAAGGAAACAAACTCAAGCGAGTCTCGAGATCGCGCTCACCGAAATTGACGATGTACGATTATCCCCGCGTTCGGCGCGATAAAAGAAGTTACGTCTAAGTCGAAGTGGATGCCCACGGAGCCCACCCGGCGCGATCGAGAGTCATCCAGTCGCCGCGGCATTCTGGCTCACGGCCAGCTGACTTCGCGGGAACACACTACCGGCCCCGATCGAGGCCCCACGTACGTAGATACACCCACACGCGGACGAGTGAGAGCGCGGTGCCTGCCTACCACACGTGCAACGACCCCGTGAACTTGAACTTGCGCCGGTCTCGCTCGTCTCGTCTCGTCGCGGTACAACCTCGAATCGTTCGCCGAAACGTTGTTAAGCAGCGCGAAAAGAAAAAGGGTTCCCGCCCCCAGACTTGCATCCGCGCGACGAGGGAAAGAGTTAATACGCGCGCTTCTCTGCAGCGCGCGTATGAAAAGTACACGCGCGGGAGAAGTGCGGTCCGTTCGCGGAAGGAGACAAGTTGGGGAACGCACGATGATGTTAATCGCTACCAGGAAACAGCGGGGGCTCCTGGCGCGCAACGTGGCTCGCAGCATCACCGCGCCGCGGAGACTCCGGGGAGCAAAGCAACATATGCGCGTTTCCTCGCGCGTGTCAGGATCCGGTGTGCGAGGCGATTGTGGGACCGCGAGACCCCGATTTGCTCGGCTTCCTCCTCTTCAGCTTCTAAACTTCGAGAACGAAAACGCGAACCGGTCGCGGCGGTTAGATTTCAGATGCGCCGAGCGAGCGAGCGAATCTTTATGCCGCCATATGGCAGCGCGGCGCGACGGCGGCCTCTTCCCTCTGTATTCTCCCGCTGGTTTTATACTCCCGTCAGACAAGTGCGGGCTGTTGTGAATGCGATTACGTGCTTCTCGCATAAACGCAATGCCGTCCTGGCCGCCGCGCCGCAGCAACGACCGACCGGTAGCCATCGTCGGCGCTCGTTCGGATCGCTCGCCAAATTGTTCGCCGACCATTTGGAGTCGTTTAATTCTGTATACCCTCAAAGAATCAGCGCAAACGAATGTTCCTCTTAATATCAACAAAAGAATCGATAATGATCCTCCGAGCGAAGTGGAACGCGGCGATTCGTGACAAAGCTCAGAGGAAAATATGTGCGAGCCAAAGCGACTGCTAATTAATTAACTCTGCTTTTTTTATGTCAATTTAAAATTTTGGAAGCATTTACGAATGCACTCAGTCTAGTCTTAAACTTGAAAATTTCTTAGTTTGCAAATAGAAATGAATAAGTCATTCCGTATTAAACATTTTTTTTTTAATTTTATTCAAATCTTTACTATCGAGATGGTTTTCAAAACTTGAAGAATTACGAGATAGATCTTGTCTCCCGCAAAACTCTCCGCAAAAATGATTTTAAATTTATTATGGAATCCACGCGCGACCGCAGAGGATACACGGGTGACTCTGATGCACGGTATTCGCATATCGCTTCTCAACAGAAGAAATCTCCGAGCTATGGTATCGACGATCGACAACACCAAGATGCAGCGGCGCAAGCTCATCCTTGGTGCATCAGCCCGACCGGAGGACGAGGTAACTCGGTATGCGGGTCACCCCGTTCGCCAGTGCGCGTATCGCGAAGATGCATTGTTCGATCAGATAGCGAGTTTACGTTATCTCGCGGCCGCTACTGCATAACTCTCGCGTTGGCCGCCTTGTGCTCCTTCTTTCTCGCTCAAGCGCGCTTTTATTTACACATAGTTTTATTAAACTTACACATATTAGAAGTTCGAAATGTTTCCATCTATAATTAAATATCGGATACTTGTAAAAATCTTTGTTAAATTTAAATCTGTCAACATTTTAAAAACTAGCAAATAAGAAGAATGCTTAAAACATCCGGTAATATTACATTGTAACAAAGAAGCGATTCGTAGATAAAATATAAATACAATAAAATGTCTAGATTAAAAATTTGACTGTTTTATATCATAATTCTTAGATATATCATATGTAGAGGATAAGAAAATAATCATTAAATAGAAGTCGCACAATATGAAGTGCTAAATGGTTCGCAGCCTCCTCCGACATGTGTGCCTCCCGATAAGTTGTTAAGTCTACGTTACGCTTTCGTGGTACGGTCGGGCGTCGACGGATATGCAACGTGAGTACCTATACCCTTAGTCGCAACAGACGATCGCCTTTCTCAGAATTAGATAAGTCTCTTTATTGGTGATCAGATCACTGCAGCAACAGCAACAGCAGCAGCAGCAGCAGGAGCGGCGATGGCGGCGGCAGCAAGTTCAAGGTTGACTGGGTAAAAATAGCCAGATCTTGCCGGACTCTCTCACGGACGGAGAACGCTTCTCCCGCTGCGTCTGTTGACTGTGCTCGACCGGAAACGTACTGTCCGCCACTGATCGCTAAGACATTCCGAAGCTTGTCCATCGAATTCTCGAGTAAAATCACATACCGACATACTTTAAAAGCAATCAAGCAAATAAATATTCCAGACGTCAAAATTTAAGTACATACGTGAAATGCAATACGCTCATATATTTATTTAAATATTTTTATAAAAAAATTTTAAAGAGATCACTGCTTGCGCCATTTACTCTCTCAATTTCTTACGTTTCCAATTTGTTTAATCTTTAGAGGAATTAATAATCACCGATAATTTTCTTGTAACTATTTTTTTTTGCTATCAATCCTTTTGCCAAGTTTATCAAGCCGCTGAGAAGATAAGCAAAAAAAAAAGATATAATAACAACCATTTTTTTAAAGCAGTGGCTTTTTATCTGTTTTAGATTACAAAATAAATAATAACTGCGATAAAAACGTCTATTAGTCCAATAACAGGGAAAAATATAGTCCGTGATAAAACCGGATAATTAGTGACGTATATAAGACTTGCACTTGAAACGAAATCGTGATGTCGATAATGAATATTGGAATTCGTCGATCGTGACAAGTATGTACCGCTGTGGAGATGCTATAACGGTGCCCGTTGTCGCTCGTACGTGGCTTTATCGTGAAAAACGTACCTGCCTGCACAAGTGCACACACCTCGCGTAAGAAAAAGAGTAGTATTCGAGATGACTCGGGCGACCTTAGTCGTGCGCCTAAGAAATACCGTGCCGCGCGCGGACCTTCGACGATGAAGATATAACGAGGTCGAGCGTGTCAACGACTCTATCATACGACGAGAATCCCCGCCGCGTGCCTCGCGAGCCTAAATCTCGCGAACTAGGTAAAGAGTACGCAAGACAGGTTTAATCTAGAAAAACCTGACGCCCCGGACTCCGACTTCACACTCTTCACAGTCGTAATGGCCTGACAAAAATTATACGTTGCATCCTGTCGAGTTGAATAAATCGCCTATTATTAATACATTAGCTGATGTAGTATTAATAACGAGCATGTCTCTACCTATAATTAAATATATCGGAGACACTTGTAACGTTCATTAAATTTAAATCTGTGAAAATTAAAGAAAGGATAAAGTAAGGAAGAGATATTTGGTGATAATCGAGTCTGGTAATTAACGACTATTTTGCTAAAAATGCAATACAGAATATGTAAAGCAAGTTTAACATAAATTGTGAGAATTTCGTTCTAATAAACAGTAGAGAGTATTATATACTAAATATCATATAATTGTAATAATTATAATAAGGTACATAATGTAGTAACGCTAGTCTCAACTTTTTATTGAATATTCAAAGTGGTAACACTATTAGTGTAGCGACATTTCTCATAATATATAATAAACGATTAGCCTAAAACTTCTGCTTTCGTAATAGCATCATCCTTATAGTTTTGTCATCACCATCATCGTCGTCGTCGTCGTCATATCTTCTCCTCAGACGAAATACAAATGAATCGCGTTCTTTTCGTTTCGTCACATAATAATATACGTACATAGATTTATCAGAGATATTGCGAGAATCTAGCATAAAATCGGGTGGGTGTATTTATATATGTATAATTATATATAAATGTATATTTAATTATATATAATTATATATACCTATATATACAATGTGGATATAGGTACACTTACGGTGTGAGAGTTATCTCGGAAGCGGAGGACGTTTTTTGAGAGAACGTACCGCGGCATTTCTCGCTTGTCCACGTCCGAGATAAATCGATTCTAAAAATCACGACGTCTATCTTACGTCAAACGTCTACCTAGATTTTTCAGGCAACTTCTCTCTCTCTTTCTCTCTCTCTCTCTCTTTCTTTCTCTCTTTCTATTAAGCACGGGCTAACATGAATTCGATCGCGTGTAAGCCGATTGGAACAGCCGGCGATTACTCGCAGGATCGACATATATGCAATTTCGAAGTTGAAAGACCGGAGTGAGTGAAGTGAAGATATATTACATCGAAACAATGAAAATGGATTATGATGCTCGGGGACGGATAGTCTTATCGAGGTGGCTTATTCGTGAGTAGAGTGTCTATTGCACCACTATGACTATTGCAGAGGAGAACTATTGCGATGATATTGTAAATATACTATGTGTGTGATATGCCCGGAGTACAATTGCAAACTATAGGTACCCTGATTGTTATCCCGTACTAAGCTAAGTGTTGTAAAAATTATCGCTAAACACTTTTCTCTAAAACCAATCGTACGCGAACTGCGTTTTCGGCAAAATAATTGTTCGAATTTTATCAATCAATATTTTATTCGCTCTTTTGTTATTTTCCAATGATTAATCAATACTACTATTCCTTTTCTTTAAATGTAATAAAATAATTCAGTCTCTGAATAACAAACCACTTTTAAATCAAAGTTTTTGTTTAATAAACTTTATAGAACTTGGGACACTTTAAGATATTGTCCTCTAACTGTAATTCTTCATGATTCGTCATTTTAATCGTTAAAAATATGTCTCCCGTATATGTCTGTCGGTTTAAGAAAACAAGCGTTTCTCGATAATTTCTATTATTGTATTCGCGATTGCAAGGCGCATTCGCGCAATCGATTTCGCTCGCCCATCCATCGCACTCTTACATCTCGAACGTCTGCCATCGAATTAATTATCGGCCGCTTATGGCGACCGGACGCGTACATTAAAAAGGCTATGAAAGGCTATACTTAGAAATTAGTGAAACACAATGACAGTGTACATCGTCGGTGCTTCGAGTGGGCTTCGTCAAACTCCATCAATACGCCGCACTTTCTCTCGCAGTGGAGGTTCGAATAAAAAATTGAGCTAAAAACGGCGACGAGGGGGAGGGGAGGAAGAAGGTGACAGGGGGAGGAAAAAGAAAAAAACGTTAAAGTAAACGGACACGCTGGAAGGACGAGAGATATGAACAAGTTCACAGGAGCGAAACCCGCGTTTCTCTCTCTCTCTCTCTCTCTCTTTTCCTCTATTTTCTCTTCCTCCGTCCTCTCAACGTGCCGATCTTGGATCTTGTGAAGTATCGTTGACGAATGCTACTTCACCGTCTTCTTACAGCGACATTAAGAAGTACGTATACTTAAATAAAACCTCACCGCGTTTCGCAAAAAGCAAATTTACGGGATCCTACTCGGGAATTCGTGCGATCGTATCTTTCTCGTAGAAATATACTTAAATCCGTAAGTATAGCAATATAATCCTTGTACAGACATATATTTGTTTTCAATAGAAAGAAGATATTTTCCCACGACAGACCGGTAGAGATATTTTAATATTCTTACGGGCTTCTTACGCGCCCTTAAAATACCGCTGAACAGACAACCTTACACGACCGAGACTTTCTTCTGCCCGAACGGCGTGGTTTGTCAAGCGGAACATCACGGTGTAACAAAAGGATTCTGCCCGGGCGGTGCAGTGGGTGGGCACTTCTTCTACTTACCGATTCGATTTAATTCGCAGGAATTCCGACGAGACTTCGGACAGCATCGAGATTTATTGTAGCGTACGGTCTTTAGTACGTCGAGCGTTTTTTCCCTTTCCACTGACTGTCCTCCTTCGCTAATCTAATTGTCATTCTCTCTTTCTCTTTCTCTATTTATCCCCCCTCTCTCCCATACACACGCATACACACATACCAACGCGCGCGCATACACACTCTTTAATACACTAAGGAGCATTAAGTAACTATCTTATCTCTGTCGAAAAATAGGACATCGTGTTCGCTAATCGATCATCGGTCCCGCAGTTCCTTGCTGGTCGCGCGCATGCCTCGACCACTGTGTGCTTCCGAAAGGTAAACTTTCTCCCGAAAGATAAACTCGTATACGTATCTGGTAAAACCGAGCAATATTAAAAAACGCGAAGAAAACACCAACATTGGCGCGCAAGTTGCGTTCGCGCTTTCGACAATTTGTCATGAGAATGAAGCAATATTCCCTCTTCGATTCCACGTCGCGCGAACTATTTTGCGAATCTTACTTCGCACTCGCAATCGTGGTCTCAATTGCCCTTCCGTAACGGCGAAGCCAGGCAAAGTGACATCGCTAGATCGAAGTCGATGAAAAATCTCGTGTCAACGTGATTCCGACACGGAATGTTTATAACAGCGATCGTGCCAACACCTGCAGGATACATTTATTCTTCGCTTATCGGTAAAAGCTAATCTTTGATATTATAAAGAACACCATGGTTGTACAATCGTGCACCTCATGGAATAAAATCCGCTTCGTTTCCTTACGTTAATTTCTAGTCTTAAGCCGGTGAACTATGTAGATGTCAATATATATGTGTATATGCTATACAAGCGAGTACTCGTAAGCAATAAGGAGAGATACGCATCTCGACTATGACGTACGTTTGCTTAAAAACGATCGAAAAAGGAATTTCAAAAATCAAGGATTAATCCGCAAAATATATTCTCGACGACAAACACCAGCAATTTTGTTTGAAATTATAATATAAACAATCAACCTTGCTTGAAACTATTGATATGTGTAATAAAAACCAAATATAATTTTTACACCGCAAATCTAAGTCTTGTTCTTACACGCATAAACGCCTAAGAGTCACACTTTAGACTGAAGCTTTTTTTTACATGTTTTTTATACGTTAAATTACGTCATTTAACAGGTTTAATCGTATTAAATTAAAAGTTAATACATGTTAAATGTGTTTTAAAACAGCAAGAAGAGCTTTAGCTAAAATAACAGACTTGAATTTGCAGTGTATACTGGCGTATTTGATCGTTTTTACACAAAAGAATTGAGATTGATTTTCGAAAGTAAGCGATTCTTGATCGTTCCTAATATTCCTCGAGGATAAAATCATCAATCGGCGACGAGCGAATGCGCGATCAACGATCACGTCACATCGCTTGTCGTTTTCGATCTTGTCGATATCCCCGACGAAGCACAGTCATTCATTGGAGACGAATCGCCGTTAATAATTCACTTGACAACTTAAAGGTAATAATGTTAATGACTTCAACGGTAAGAAAACGAGGGGAGAATCGCCTCGTGGAAAATGTCACGGTGGACTTACGGCGGAACGATAAAAAAGACACGTTTCGTGATTGCTAGCGAAACGATGACGCGAACGCATCATCGTCACATCATCTCAAACCCACACACGCCGTACATACGATATAAAATTTTTTTTAATAACGTCTCACACGAACAAATGTAAATGACGGCAAACAAAATTATATAAAATGGTTATCCAAGCCGCAATAGACGGCTATTATTGATAAAAACAATCTACAAACAGTGATAGCACTTCAAGACAGTAAAGCTCTATTTTCATCGTTTTCTTCGCTTTTTCTTCGAAACATTCACGTCTCCGTCGGTTGTCCCTCGATTTTACATCTGGTGTACTGTATGCCATGGCTCTCTGTGAACGTCCTGGATTCAACATGTCTTTCGGACCGCCCGTTACACGTTCCCCGTGTGAAAAGGCTCTCTCTTCGGGATTTTTATCTCTGCACGTTCGAGATACACGGAACAGTTAGGGGTACCAAGGTAGGTAGGTAGTGTCACGCTCATTCACGAGGAGCCTTCGAATAGCTCGCGTTTCCGACAAGCGAAACGGCGAGCGACAGGCTTCCGAGCCTGTTTCTTTCCCCATCATTCGTACCGTACTTCATTCGCAATTTTACGCGACCGCGCGCGCTTTGCTTTTTCTTCCGTAAAACTTGCTCCTGCTTACCGCACTTCGCGGTTTCTCCGTAATAGGATTAAAAAGAATTTAGAAAAAAAAAGAATACCGTCGGGAGAGACACAATCTGAATACCCAACCTGCGACAGACTTATGCGCGATAACGTGTCGTTTGCGCACCAGTCGACGGTCGATCGGCCGCGAAGAAGATCCGCGACGAAGATCCGTCGGCAATTGACGAACCTTCTTTTTCTTTGTCTACTTCTTTCCCGTTGCGTTTGGTCTCGTTTGACGTTTGGTCGGGCTCGCGCGGCAGGAACACGGGAGATTTCTCGTCAAGTGAGAATCGGAATTTCGTCGCAATCACGTCATATCGCCTCAGCCGAGTCCAGCCCATTGCATGAAATCGGGAACTTCTCTCACGGGCACGTCCCTGGCCAGAGCCTTCACCCTGAGGTTCCGGTCCTCCGTCAGCAGAACCACCTCCCGTCTCAAACGCCTCGGCTGTCCCTCCTCTGTTAAGGCAAAAGCCGGGATTTCCCCATTTCTTTTTATTGAGCTTAAGGACCTCCTGCTACTAACTCATTTATATTCTTGTCCCGAAAGTCTTTGATAAATTTAAACTAGCGAAATACCGCCTCTAGATATTCTTCGGCAAAGTTAGAAGAAAAAAGAAGTTTCCTCTTAGATATCCTTTAATAAATCTAGGAGAGAGTATTCTTCTAGAGATAAATTTAGACTTCAGTACAGACGAAAAAAAACACTTTCTTCTATAAAAAATTTAACATCGAATATATGATCCAATTAATTATGTGAAGACAAGAATAATGATTGGAACTATGCAACAAATATTTTAACGCGATCTGACGTAAACTTTATGGTACCTACCTGCGCTTGCTTGATCCTTGTTAATTCTGCAGAGACTGAGGCACGTAGTTAATATTCTATCGTCGTTCCGTGTCAATCCATCCTAGAACAAGACGTTTGAAATTCCGAATATACCGATAAACTCGAGTAAATAATTACGTTTTAATAGCGACAAATAGCTAAAAAGAGAACCGAACTTCCGAATTCAGGGCAGAAATTGTCATCAAAATTGAGTCTCCGATTCGATCGGAGATCGAAAATTATGTTAAGCCCCTTGCACAATGCCAGGCAACAGGCAATAGGAACAGGAAATAACCAAAAAATCATTAATTACAACCTAAAAAATTCAAATGCTATGATTGGTTGGCAATAGGCAATAGGCACAGAATTTCCAACGTGACGGAAACTCTGTGTCTATTGCCTGTGTCACTGTTTATTCTGCATTTATACATGATTTCTGATTTCTATTCCCTGTTCCTATTGCCTGTTGCCTGGCATTGTGCAAGGGGCTTTAGTACCAAAAATAATCAGGCACAAGCCGCAAATGCTGCAGAAAATACTTTGAACGTACACCACGTGGGTGTTCTCCGGCTCGTTATTATAACATTCGCGCTTCAATGAACACCGTGTCCGGAGTGCCTACCTTTCTTCGCTACCATTGGTCTTCGGTGCGACTGGTTTGTACTGTACCGTGGTTACTTTCTGCGTGTACTGTTGGAATCCTATCGACTGAATGTCACAATCGATTCGCTTTATCGTGTCGCTTGTCGTTGCGCGCCGCAGGCGTTTAGATATAAAGTCGCAATGAAAATAACGACCCCCATAATAATTTACATATTCAAATCGATTGTCAGAACGGATTTTGTAATCGCCATTGATACTCAAAATCGCATCATTTGCTTAATAAAATGTAAAACATACCGATGTGACAGTTGGAATTAACGACGACGAGATACTAGATTCAAAAGTAATAATAAAATATAAATAATCAATTTTTCTTGGGCTAAAGGAAAAATGCATGACGAAGAAGAGGAAAATTGTGCGCATTAATTTCCTCTCCAAATAGCTCAAAATAGCTTTGGAGAATTTTCCAAGATTGTTAGAGGAAAAAAAGGGTAAAAGAAGTAAAGGACTATTCAATGGAAGTCCTACATCTAGCCGCGGTCAACGATCGATGCAAATTTGCCTTTTAAATACCTCAGCAGACCGAATACAGTTACTTAAGAATGTAAGCGTATCGAATTGTCGAGAGGTTTGTCCAGCCTCTTACTTACCTTGTCGCAATTTTCCTCGACCGTAAAAGTGCTGGATGTGAGAACGGTGCCCCTCGTGGTTAAGCACCGGATCGCCGGATTTCGGCTTCTCGCGAAGGCCAGTGCCGCCTTGGCATTCTCGGCAACTCGCGCCAAATGCTCAGGATTTAGAGCCGCTTTCGACGCTGGAGGACAATCTCTCGCATCGGCGCCTCGAGCTAGACCTTCGAGTTCACTTAGTACTGCAACAACAAAAAATATTTCCGCTCGTTAAGCACGTGCGAAAGGGCTGTATCGAAAGTCACGCGCATGTCTCGCGAGACTACAAAAGAATCAAGATCAATCGCTGTTGAATGAGTTATGATGAAAAATGCATGGATCTTGAAAATTTAATCCTTGTAGAAGAGAAGAAAAAGAATTACGCGTAAAAAAATTGATTTACAATTATAAAATACGTGATTGTAATTCATATAACACCGGTTCTACACGCTGCTCAATTAGTCATAATGCTTCATTATTATACATAAAAATATAAAATTTACATTTATGTTCAAAATGGTAAAATTTTATAAAATATAAAAGATATAGAAATAAATAAGTAGGTATAATAAATCCTCTCAATTTCATTCCTACAATTTATCGATGATCTAAACGCAGACTGATTCATTGAAAGATTATTTGTATCTTCTCCGAAATTCTTTACACAGTTGCACAGATACAAATAACTCGGATTAAGATCTCTCTCTCGAACAAAATCCAACGAAAAGAAAAATCGTGTCTGTGACTACCACTTTATGTTGGTCTACGTCTACGCGAACATATTCACTCGGCAGGATCGATCTCGCCTTCATGGCCGAGATTGAGGAAAACGGGATGGCGACGTGTGCTGTTAAAGCAAAGGACCATCATAGCTGCGTTCAAAAGCCACTCGCCCCGACGATCGGCGACCGCCATACCGATATCGCCCACGTACCGATCGTAGCCAGAAGGCAGCCCGCGGTACGCCGCTGCCATCGAGCCCCATCGCGAGCGTTTCAAGCCGCATACATGCATTCATGTATGAGCCGTGAGAACCTAACTGTGAACGCTCACCGTTGCTCGCCATCGGAGAGCCAGACGGGCCCGTGGTCGGCCGACTGGCCGGCGAGGTCAAAGGGCAGCACGCCGGCCGATTTTGCATGAAGGCGCACTTTCGTTTTTCGACCCCACGACCCGCACGAACGACAAAAAGGAAAGGGAGAAACGCACGGAGCGAACGAGTAACAAGATTGAGCAGAAAACATTTTTTTTTTTTTACTAGAGAGTGATGACGCGATTTGATTAAACTTTCTTCTTTAAATTTTTGTTGTCATTATTAATTTGACGTTCGCGAACAAAAAGAAATTCTCAACTTGGTAATATTTTGATATTTTACCAATTTGTTGTCTTTAGATACTTGGTCAATTGAAATTATAGTGATAGAATTTGCAACAGAATCTTTAAAACGAGACAAAATCAAAAAATTTTTTATAATCTCTATTGAAAAGATAATATGATAAATTCAGAGTTCGATTTCGTTTTATTTCGCAGCTTGTCATCTTCCAATTTTTTTTATTTTCTCCGTACAAACAGATTCATTGAATTATTTCAGTGAGGAGGACGGGGAGAAAGAGATTATCATGAATGCTGTGAGAGAAGCTTTATCGACTTTATTCGCCACAGATTGCCGCGCGAGCGCGCACAGAAAAGCAATCTACGGAAAATGCAAATAGGAGATTCACCAAACTTTCCCCGACTCGATAAATTAACTGGCTGCCAGCCTTATCCTCCTTCCAGACCCGACCCCTGAATGAACTGGGCAAGGGCAGTCGGTAGTGGATGAAGTTTGCGAGACAGGGGGACGGAAATAGAAAGAATAATATCTGCGCGGAGTGAGAGAATAGGGGAAACGGCATTATTTATCACGGGCTTGCAGACATCATTTATCACCGCGCGATAAATATTCCGTTGCTGAAATATCGACATATGCAGTAATCAATCTTTAAATTATGCGCGATTAGACGTTCGACTAAAATAAATTAAAATAACTGCTCTAACGGCGGATATAATTTTAAACACCAATCTCAGTTTTTTGAACTTTGCAATCCATTTTTGTAACATTACTTACTTTATTTCAGCGATCTATTTCTTAGATATTCACATCTCAATTTCCTAGATTCAAGTTCGTTTAGGTTGTTAGTGTTTTACCCGGCTGCTCCACTTCCTTATAATTTTTTATTTCCAAACGAGATTTTTCGTGAGTAAAGTGACGTAGTCGAAAAAGCCTAACAAATATAATAAGCCGTGACTAATCGATGATCGCGATAATGCTCATCGAAATCCTCGAGGCGAAACGTTTGTCCTTGCCCTATCGCAACGGCCGCGACCTCGCCTAACAAACGTTTTGGCATTCAAAGCTGGAGGATCGACGGAGAATCGACGGACAAAATAGGATGCGGACAGTGACGTAAGCTTCCGCAAAATATCAAATACCGTGTCCAGATTGGCACCGTGAGTCGATTTTGCTGAATCAACGATTAGATCAGCATTAATTGGCAATAGAGATGATGATTGATGAGCCTTTCGATTTTCAGCGTCCTTGAACCTTGACACCAGCTTTGTCTTCTATTGAACGCTAAAGCAACTGTGTGTCGCGTACAACTTTCACGATCTTATATATATAAGAGGATCTTCGTGTCAATTCGATATTAAAAGGTCATTTTTCACATTACTGCTCTAACACATGACGTCTTGTTTAATTTAGTAAACTAAATTATTGCAACTTCGCTAGAAAAGGTTTGTCCATAGGTACATACATCTGAAAATCGAATGCAATACAAATATGCGCTTTAAGATAAGTAATCACAAAGTAAATACATCACAACTTGAATTAGAGACTCGAGTAGTTAAGATATACGCGCTCGAGGCAATAAATGCTCCGAATGTCCGTCTTGTCGTCGTAGCCGTAACTCCAGACGCATTTACTATGAAGCACCGTGAAAATGTCAGCCGCACCGTGGAAGATTGTAAATTTATCGCTGATTGCGTTTCGCTGAGTAGCGAGTGTCTATAAACTGCGACTATTAAAAAAGAAAGAACCGGTCGCGTCGTTCCGTCGTCCTATGCGTCATCGTTGTTGTCATCATCGTCGACCGATTGACAGAAACGAGCGTCCTGTATTATACGCATTGTCGTGTTGTAAAAACACGCGCGATCGGAGTGTGACGTGTGATTTGATGATTCCATTGCTGCAGTGATAGCCTTCTGTTCAACAACTCCAATTAAATCTAATTCTTGTAAGAGAGAGAAATATTTATAAGAGAGGGATCATTATCTTTAAGAGGTATAATTAAATATAATTATATTTTAAGAAATATAATATCTAAACTGAATTTTGAGCTGAATTTTAATCAAATTAGTCGAAGCTGAACTTAACGGAATATTTCTGCTAATTAATTTAGAATTATATCTCTCCTATAACTGTTTGTTATTCTTTATGATGTACGATAGTACAGTTACCGCTATCCCAATCAAATAATGTTCGCCGAATAATAAGTAACAGATTCTAATGACGTAATTTATTATGTTAGTCGAGTATATCATAAGATTATTTAAATTGAGTATCATGAACAACCTGTATTGAAGTTTCATGTTATTATACATTCTTTATGAGGATAGATCCCGTCTTCTTCCTCGACAAAAATTTGGTTGAAGGCCATTATCAGTTATAATAAATTATCTCTCAACATTAAATATTCCAATAATTAAACAAATCACGGATTAACATTCTAAAACGAGATAATTCCATCCAGAAAATGTAAGTTTTGCTCCTGAAGTCTAGCTTGTAAAAGAAAATCGAAATTTATATACATAAGTCGTATTTATTGTATATGTTGCAAGCGCGAGTACTGTTATATCTCCATAGCGGAACGTAACGTATGGCTGTAAATCGGTATGCCGCGGAGTGCTACGGATTTAACTGCTTCGTGCGCGACGATGACTCGGGACCGCGTGATTTCGTACGAGTCGTATCTCGATGTGGAGGACCGTTAAAGGAAACGCACTCCGACAATGCGCGCTCCGACCGACCGATCGACGACGCTCGAGAGAAGGAATTGCTCAACGCTAATTGGAGCGGAGGAATCGACGGCGGGCTCGCATTCCTCGGTGTCATCATCCTCGGCCGTCGGTAGAGAACCGGGAGCTGACGCAAGCGCCGTTAATGGCCGTATCGGTCGGAGTTCGATCCGGCAAACGGCTCCTGCGAACGGACAAAGCGTCTCGCGATGGCCGGGGGTATACGGGACAATCCATTCTCACGAGGACGAGGGGGCAGGGAAAAGTTCTGCGACAAGTGACGCGTAATGACGATGACCTAATGAACTATTCTCCGCTAGGGATCGACGAATCAACGATCGTCGGTTGTTTCGCGGCTTCGCTTAACGTTCGGAGAGACCAGGCGAATCGAGTGTGTTTGCGCACCGGCGATTGCTTTGACCCGAGGTGCGACCTCCGACTGGTCGCGTCATTTCTCTTCGATGACATTATCTAGACACAACCCTTGGCGAGAAGGTGCGTTCGGTCATTATATAGGTTTTAGATACGTTCGTATCTAAACGATATTTCATAGATACGTTCGATGGGCCAATAGCTAATTAACCAACAAAGTATTATAACAACCGATTTAATTGCGCACGATATATTTCTGATATTTAAAAATATCTGATATTTAAATATAGATACTTGAGAATTTTTATATATAGAAGTAAGAATTCTATTAAAATTTCCATAGATTTTACATCCAATGAATAATCATTTCGCAATGTTTTCAATCTTCGAGAGATAAACGATTTTTACGAGACAAACAGAACAGTGCTGCGATATAGAGTTAAATTTACGATATTGGACGAATTGAAATTCTCTTCTATTTTTGTTCATCCGATATATATGCATGAATGGAAATTCTTTCTCGTTATTTATTGGTAATTATTTTACGCTCTTTTAAAAAGAGAAAAAAGAGTATTAATTCGAATCATGTTTCTATAGCACATCCATCTTCCTCGAGATAATCGACGATCTTCGGTCAAAAAAATGATGGACGAGGTCGGGGGTCAAACGGCGCACGTGTCAAACGGCAACGTCTCGCCAATCCTTCATCCGCGTTAATAATATGTTAAACTTTTGTTTTCACTTACCGACGAGTGGCACCATGAGAGTGTAGATTGGCTGCGCGCCGGAAGTGGCTCTTGCGATGGTCTGCAGTTGCTGCAGGTAGTCGATGAAGCAGTTAGTATCTGGCACCAGCTGTCTCGGTCTCACCTCAATTTCTACCGACACCGAGGACTTTTGTAAGATTGCCTAAACATACGAAATGTATATACGCATATATTTAGTGATATAAAGATATATAAATAGAGTATAAAATTTTAATATAAGACTCAAATAAGATATTCTATTTTAAGACAGTCTAATACATGGAAAGAAAAATATCCACTTTAACGACAAAACGCAAACTAAAATAATAATATTACAAAAACATATACCTAAAATAATTAATCATATTTCAATTATAATTAAAGGGGACGACATTGGTATAGCGACGATATTTAAATTTCACTTTCAATCGCGGATTTCATCTCAATTTTCTGTTATTGTACGTAATAAAAAGCAAATCTTTTTAAAATCAATAGCCAAGCAAATTTTATAGTTGAGTAATCGTCTCAATCTGCATCCATCTTCGTGATTCTCCTCCTCGTCGGGGAGAAACGTGCCGCATCTTCATGCGCATTACATGCATCTTCCACCGAGAGAGAAACAAAAAGAGAGAGAAAGAGAGAGAGAGAGAGGCGCGTGTGCGTGCAGCGCAAGATGCAACGGAAGACGCATTATCTTCCAATTGAATCCCACGTATGCGGATGGTGCTTCGCGAGAGAGGCAGTGGCGCGCACCGAACAATATCGACTCGGCAGTATAACGTGAATGCCAAGTAACCATTGTCGTAACAGAAGCTACGGACTATAATGAGGCCTCTATCTAAAATTGTTTCAACGATGATCGATACATATCATTGACCGCGAGCTCATTTATTCAAAAAAAACTCATGAAAATTGCCTTCGATAATAAGGCGGTAGCTTAAGATATTTAAGATTATATATTTTAAGACATTTGCGAGCGGCTTCATTAAAATTCAGCAAAGTATTCAGTACATCTGTTATCTCAGCTCATTAACATATCCTTATGTGACGATTTAAGGAGTTTACCGCTGTCTACAATTTTCGACTGGAATAATATATGCAAAAGTAGCTATTGAATACATTAGAGCCGTAAATCTTCTCTCACTTTCTATTTTTCGACACTCTTTATGTAATCACTATTTAAAAGCAATTTGCTGACTAAATAAGCACTGAGAACGCAATAATACACAATCTAAAATATGAAAAGAGATAAAAACATTCTGAAGACACTAGTCCATCGAATCATTTATCCTTTAATTTAATTCTGGATCTTAAATTAAGTCTTCTCAATTTTGTTTCTACTAAATTAACAGATTCCTATGTAAATTCTAGAATAAAATTCATAAAGACAAAATGTTGCTTCCAATAAATAATTTTCAGGCAAGGTAAATGACTCACACACCTTCTCGTTCTCTTTCTCTTTTTTCTTGCCCGAAATACCGAACATTTCTTTAAATCTTTCAAAAGCTAAGAGGCCACTTAAAACGATCCTGCAATAGTCGGCGCGAATATACATCCTCGATCCTCCGCAACGGTACATCGAGAATTATTCAATTTCGAGAGTCTCTAGGATATGGTTTTGCACTAATGTCCGTGCGATGGCACGTCGCACGAGTCGGCGAAAAGCATGCGAGGAATCCGAAGACGTACCTAATTGCTTGCGGGGGTACGTGGACGGAATGCAAAACTAGGGAGAATCGTGCACACGCGACGTTCGCCAAGCAAAGCCATGTCAAGCCACACCACGCCGGTGTGCAAATGTCATACACGTGTCCGACGAGATTTCGATCTCTATTCTCGTCCTGCTGACATGATAGCTCGCGGTTCCCGTTCCGCAAAGGGGTTAATATATAGCCGGCGGATCAGCTATTCGCCCTTTTTTGGCAAAGCTCGTGACGTGGGTGTGAATTCGGGCCCAAATTAAGTTATTATAGGATAAACGTTCTCGATATGATACAGGTGTATATCCTTCCAAGAATTCATTTCGAATATATATACATATATATATATATATATATATACATATATGCATATAAGCCGGAGGGGGGCCTGACGTTCCAGAAATATATAGATATCGAAACGAAAACGAGTCAACGAATGCAAAATCGTCGCGCGGAAATTTATCACGATGGAAACGGCGTTCAAGATTTTTCATTTTATTTAAGACCGTAATTTACGAGCACTATACACTCGTCTCGTTGCATCATCGCGAAATGAACGGGGGAACATCCGCCCATGATGCTCGTATGCGTTCTTTTAGAATTCAAACGCTTTCCTCTCGCTCGCAGCTCGGTCTGCTTCATTTATACGGCGCGCCGTGCGTGCGACAGCGACATAAAAAGTCGAGGAATTTACTCCCGTTTAAAGTATTCGTGAATTCCTAAACGATGTGGCGTGTACCGTTGCGCATTCCCGCAAACGTATAGCACCACTCGCCGTCCCCCCTCCCCCTCCTCCTCCCCCTTCCTTTCCCTCTTTCATTCTCTTCCACCAGCCATGCTCACGGTTCTCGTCACTTTTTTTCCCCTCTTTTCTCCGTTGGGCCCGCTCGTTCCTCGCGCCTCGCACCTCGGCCGACAGAGCCCGGCCGGCCCCTGCTCGTGAGAACCCTCGTTGAATCACGCGTCGCGCGGCCCCTAACGCCCGCGCGCATATTAAGCGCACACCGACACGGGCCTTCACACGCTCGAGCGGGCCCGCGCCCCGTAACAACATTGTAAATGCGCAACACTCGCGGAAACGTACCTGGTTAACCGTCGGGAGACAAGTTCGCCAGGTTCGTCCGGCGTCCGGCGAGCTGCGAACGTGCGCGCGTGCTCGCGACGCGCTCGAACGCGGAATAACGCTTTTTTCTAGTAAATGGAAAAGAAAGGCGGAGTCGCCGATTACACTTTCGTTTCCTTCTCAAATTGTCCGGCTCGTCCGGTCGTCCGGATCATCCCAGAACCTCCGGCGAACTCTCACGACGGTTTCGATCGAGCAATTTAACGCTGCTCTTTCTCAAGATACTCTTAGACTATATCGTTATATTTTTATTCAGATCTATCTGAATTCTAATGAAAATTTTATGGGACTATACAATGCGAGACTGCATTAAAATGATGCAATGTCAGATTGTTGCGCATAACGCGAATCGGTTTCAAAGAATCCTCGCGAGAAAGTAAGACAATCTTCTATATGGGTTACGATAAAGGGGCCCCTATTTCTGATCAAATACTGAATAAATAAAACGAGCACGAGAAAATAGTTGAATATCAGATTCGGGTAGAAGCTACATGCAACGTTTCTTCAAAGTTGCTTCTGAATAATATATCGTCGATCGAGAAAAGTTCGCTCGATAGATAACGACGTTCACGGTTCTGATATATATAACATCGCGTATATACGAGCAAATTGAAATATATGTACAAGTTGAATACGGTATTTGAGAAAGAGAAGAAATAGAATCGAATTCATTATACATTCTAAACGAGAATGCTTTATGAAGAATATATGAAAATATCAGTTAACATGAATAAATTATACACATTAAAAGATAACGAATACTTAATTGGCAATTGCAATAATACCCTGGTAACTTTTGGTAATTATAATAAACTTAATTTGTGCATATCGAAAAGATGGTGGAATGAGAAACGCGCCAAAGAAAAAGGCCATTTCTTAATGGCGATAACGATAACGATAATAATAATAATGATAATAATAAGAGTGGCAGAGAATGTGGGCGAAGAAACCCTCTTCGAGAGATCAGAAATCGATATCTACCATAAGCCACGAAAGTCAATCCTGATAAATTAAGTCGAATCCCTATGTGCATGGTATGCCCATCGGGCGTATATATGTTCCCATAAATCAGGTAAATACCCGGTCTTACCGGCCGCAAACGGTCGGCGTGTATCTGCTGCTCGCATAATCGTTACATCTGTTACATCGTAATCGTTATCATTTCAATTATCCACGGTCCGACCAGCCGAGAGAGAGAGAAAGAGGAACGCACGCAGGTGCAGGCGCGGACGCGCGCTCGGAGATCTCGGCGCGGCGCGGCGTGCAACTGCCCCGCATAATTCTCGCGTTACACCGAGGGTTAAGACGTTTCCCCATAAGGGAGACAGCGATTTTATTGACTCGACGAACGTTACCACGTGGCCGAAGTCGCGAGAGCAACGCGCGTCAACAAGCGCGCGCCGGGCGAAAGAGGAATCCAAAGTGCCGCGGTAAATCGCGCGCGATACGATCTAAACCGCCCATTCTGCTCGCGTATACGATTTCGCGAGAGCACATCCCGGGCCTCCTATCCGCGAGTTATGGATTCGTCGTCGATAACGCGCGTATATGAATATCTCGCTCGGGTTTCGGAGCGCGCGCCCGCGCGCGCATCTCTCCGAGAGACCGATAATTTCCTTTCCCCGATCCCGATAATTACACTTCTTCTGTATACTTCGTAATAAACGCTAATTCACTACACGGGATCTCATTTGCATGGGAAACTCATTATGCGCATACCATCGGTAATTCGCCGTGAAATAGATAAGTCGACGGTCAAGTTTTCCGGAATATCTCGAGAGAATCTGCGAAAATCCCTCGCAAGTACGCTCGCCAGACCGTCATTAGGACGGGCAAAAACTGGAGAATCAAAAGGAGAAATGGATGAAAAGTAGAAAAATTAAAATGGATTCAAGCCGATGTGGAAAATAAAGGTTGCGCTACCGGTCACGCGGCAAGAAGAGGAGAGGAGAGAGGAGAGAGGAGAGAGAGAGATGCTTATAATTCTATCCTCGATTTTACTGGCCGTTTTATTCCGATGGAATTAGCGTGAGGCGGGTTACATGGGCGATATATTACGGGGAATCGCATTTATAAATGTAACCAACGGCGGCGGTCCGCGACCCCGCCATGCGTTCGTAATGGCGCGCCCAAATCGGATTGCTTTACCCCTTCGTGCCACCATAAACCACTTCCACGTGTAAGAATCGCCTCGCGACAGCGGCCGGTTATCTTCTCAGCCTTTATTGGGTTCTCCGGACCTGTTACCGGGAACAAATGGCCGCGCCTCAAATAAATCGCAGAAGAGGGATTTTCGCGAATTAATGTAACCGCTGCAATTTGCCACCTACCGAATATGAT